CTTTACATATTTATTAATGAAATGTACAGTTTATGCTGTCTAGTAGAAGTGTAACTATTTCCAAAATATTCAATGGATGTTATATCTTTCAAAAAAAAAAAAAAATCATTAATTGCATGTTTTCTGTGTTAATAACTTTCATAAACATTTTTCCCTTTACAGTCTTGGAGGTAACAGGTGCAAAATGTTTCATATCATCTTAAGAAATGGAGGTAGCTAAGGTTACATCTAGGTACATGGATAGATGTGATATTTTCTCCTACTTCAAGTGGATCCTTTGCCAGTATAAACAGTTTAGCGTATATTAATGATTTAGGCAAGAGCTTTATATCAAACTCAGTTTTCTCAGTAGTGCCTTCCTTGTCTAGTTTTGGCTGGTGATGTTCATGTCAAAGGTTAGCATTTGCTGCTGAAGTAAGACCAACCCCCTCATCAGAACTGTTGTTTTTTACAGTAATCTAGAACAGACTAGTTGAATTCATAGTTCTGCTGAAAAGGTTATGAAACAGTCTACATTGGCTCTGACTGCAAACTTTGACCTGTTTGGCTGAATTGTGGGAACTGTGCCAAAATTTGATAGAAAGCAGTTCTGGGAAGCTCTTTAAGATTAAATTCCAGGACTGCATGACTGATGTGCTAACGATATACTTGTGATATTAGGCAAGTGTTACTCTAATACAGTTTTAAGCTTGAACAGATCATTCACCTAAAAGTAAAAATTATCTCCAGCCTGATTTAAGTAATTTGTTGCATCTGAATATGATTTTAAAAGGCCCAGTTAAAATTTTACATCTTGATATTCCTTTCTCTACAACTCTCTTGGTTGAGCTACCCAGGGTCCTCAAAAGCTTTTTGCTATGCTTTTTCTTTGGGAAAGAAAAGGTAGGAAACAGAAAAAGTTCTAATCGCAGAGTATCTCGCATGATTTCAATGAAGCTTTTTAGCCAGCAATTACTGAATCAGTTTGTATTCAGCACTCTTTTAACACGTGACTGGTTTAGGTGAATATTGAGATGAAAAGTCTGTTTAATCATACATTTCTTCAGTCTTTTCATAGTAATAAAAGGCATTTGGTGTGGGAATGCTTAGGTTTCAGCGGAGAATAATCTCTCCAGGCTCCCTGTCTGAGTATAGCAAATGTGGTATATTTTCTTCATTTATGTCAGAAAAAATTCTTTATTCACTCAACACAGAAAAAAATACCTTTATTTCTTTTCATGTTTATTTTGTTCTTCCTGATGCTTTGCAAAAATGCACTTTTCTTCAAATTAGTGTCTAGATTTGAGAAAAACAGTATAAGAGAACTTGGTTTGGCTGAGTTGAGTATTGCCAATGTCCTGATATACTCTGCTAGGTATCTTAATGTCTTGTTCTATGGCCAAACAGCTGACTATTGCATGATACAGTAGTCATATGCATGTTAAAGGTTATTTTTATTAGATTTCATTTTTGCTTATAATCCTTTTGAATAATTTTACAAGTATGTCACTTCTTTCATGGAAAGGAATACTGGAATGGTTTTTGAATGCCTCTTCGTATTACTTTAAGAAGTTTAATAACCAATAATATTTTCTTAACATGCTAGTAAAGTTGACAACTCAAGTATTTGTGTGTTAAATCAAGATTCTGTAGAAATGCCTATCAGAAAGTTGGCAAGATAGATGCTGACATATACCTTATGCTGAATTCTGAGTCTTAAATTACTTTATTAACTTTGCAACAATTAATACAGGTAGCGCCCTTTCAAGCATGTCAGTCAAGTGTATTTGCACTTGCTCTGTGACAGTTTTGCTATTTTCTGCTGTTATAACTTCTGGTAAACAGAGTAAGCAATCACCAGTTCCAGGATTCCTGCCGAAGGTGCTCTGGTAGCTACAGATGGCTGCATGGTCATTGATTTTGCAAGCTGAACTGGATGAAATAGTGAAGATGGCAAAGGTTCTTGCTGAGAGTGACAGCCTGGAGGGAAGAGGACACTGGTTGCTGTGGGTTGCAGCTTAGGGGAGCATATTTACTAAATAGAAACCCTGGAGATCAAGTATTTGAAGGTGAAAAAGGTCTTTTTCATCCTGGTGTAAGGCCTCTCTTGGGAGACAGCACAGAAATTAAATGAGATGGTGGATGGATTTTTTATTTTTATTTTTTTTTTAAACATCTTCCTCAGGTTAGCTTCAGTATCTCAACAGATAGTTAATGAAATTAATCTATGATGTATTATCAGTTGGTTCAGCACGCTGCTTTGTAACTCATGTAGTTTAGGATAAATCCCAAAGTAGTTTCTCATACTGAAAGTTATTCCCTGCAGAGAAAAAAGACTGATTAATACCTGTTGTCATTAGGTATTGAAGATTTCTCAATGAATACTTACATGGTTTTAAAATGAAAGATGGCAGTAGTTAGAACCCAATTGCTTGGATTCTGGAATTCTGTTCCAGACCTGAAGTAGTTGTATGTCAGACATTTCCCTTCCCCCGCCCCCGGCCCCCGACTTAGTCTTTTAAAATACATCTATGTACAAATCTCTGGTCACCTGAATGTAACAGAACCAGAGATCAGAAGCTGGTAAACACCAATGTTACCATTATCTAATTTGTCTTTTTAGATATAATATGAAACTGACTTTTACATTTGCTGTTCTGGGTGCTAAAACATTTCGCAACTGTAGAACAAATGTATCGGAAACTATAATGTTGTTCTGTGTCTAGAAAAAACTATTAAAGGTCACTGTCTGGTTCTGTTGTCTTTGGGATTTAGCTCTTACTTCAAATCAGGAAAGTCTGGGCAATGGAAATGATACTTGTTGCTGGACATAAGATTAAGTGACAGTCATTAACCTACTTGGAAAGCAAGTGTTTACAATGTAGCCCTCCTCCTAAAATTGTGTAGCAGATTTTTATTTTTAACAGCTATAAACAACTTTGCTTTAATTTTGTTGCTTTAAAGTTACCAGTGGGAAATTGAGAGGTAAATTCTTTGTCTTTCATGTGTTTTAGAGTATGCATACAGATTTTTTTTTCTGTTTGTTCTGTGGGAGTATTCATGTTTTAATTTCCTGTGGCTGAAAATTAAGAGGGGATAGGCTGAAGTGAGTTGTACTTAATTCAGGATTCAAAGATTATAAAGCAATGAACTACTGGAATTATTTTGTCTGACTACATAATGTACACTATGAGAAGTATATACATGGTTGATTTTAAACTAGGTGATGTTTACTGTAATATTACCTTTGGATGAGTTATGCTTTGTAGTTTTAATTCTTCTTATCATCTATTACTGTATCTCTAGTTGATATTTCTGAGGCCACAGCATTGTGTGTTGTGACTAAGTCTGTTCAGAATTACTGCTTTGCAAGATAACCCTCCCATTATCTTGTCCCAAGGCCACTTGTTGTTGGGATCTGGTAGCCTTCAATTTGACTGGATCAAACCACACTTTGCAAGTTTTCATCCAGGTGTCTGGGGTTGCTCAGTGTCAGAGACCTGTGTTGTCTCTGTTACTCTCACAGTATATATGTCAACCTAAAATCTTACTAGCAGATTTCTTTTTAGTGGTTGCCTGAAGAGTATTGATAAAGGAGTTTAATCACACAGATCAGGACTTCAGGGGGACTTAGTGAATGTTCTAGATATCCTTCCAAAATAATGCTTAGGAAAAAAATATTGCTGCATCTTCCACTCACTTGAATTTCAAACGAATTTGCAATTGCAATTCTGTGTGGCCCATTACAGGACTTTTTGACTATATGGTAGGAAGCAGTGTATTAAGGTTTTAATTTCAAAGCAAATCCTCAGATAAATTCCTGTCTCATTAATCAGTTAAGGTCTTTTTAGAATATGTTTTTCCTCTGCGGTGCCTTTCAGGGAGATTTTAATGAAAACTATCTGGCTTGAAAGTTGTTAGCTGCACTGATAACTTGAAAAAAACCTGAAAGAGATAATTTATCTTTCAGTTAATGTACATAGTGTGAAGTGTCATTTACCTTAGTTGAAAAGTGAGCAAACAGGAGTTCTTCAGGATTCTTGACTAGAGTTCTGAGCAGCTGAAAATGAAGGTTTTCCACAGGTTGAAAAATCATTTGCAATTTAAGGTGAATATCTCATTGCTTAATATAAACCATTGGTTATATTACAGAAGTGCTGTTGCTTTTATAAATTTCACTTGCTTTGCAGCTCAGAAATTCTGGGGATGGTGGTGGTTGTTAGCTTTATGAAGTTTAAGGTACAAGTATTCAAATAACTTTAAACTGCTTAGGAACCACAGACACACTCAGACTAATTTCAGATTTGGGGCCTTATTTTTTTCTTTTGCAAATTATGCGGAAAGCAGATAAATTCCAAGTTACGGACAATCTTTGAGTATCTAGTTTTACTTAACAGCATCCTGTTTATTAGAAGACACATGAAGCGATGGGAGGTGATACGTCTTTCAGATACTTTGTAGCAATTTAATCTGATTCTTCATCCCTTATTCATTGAGTAATTTTTTTTTCTTTCAATTGGATGTATTTGTGACCTGAATAGTGATTCACATTACAGTATTTTATCTGAAATTGGAAAGTTTGCTTAATTGTTCAAACAGTTTAAAATTTAACTATGGTGGAAAAAAACCCCAGCCTTTTTGTTTGAAATAGCTTTTTTTGCTTTCTTTGATGTGTAATATGCATTTAGGGCTCCTATTTCTTTCATTTCTTTCTCCGAAGGGAGTTTTAGGTCTAAAGCAGGCTTTTAGCTGAGGTATACCTCACATCATACCATGTTGTCATAACATAATCAGAGTTGTTACCAGGTTATAGGAGGTTGCTGTGTGATAACAAAACTCCTTTATTAACAAGAAAATTGGTGTTATCTTTAACGATAAGGAAAATGTCTGACACTGAAACAAAAATATTTTCTTAGGTTGAGTTTATAAGTATTTTTAAAATCAGGTTTTTTTCTTACACAAATTTCTAGTGAGCCTTTCAAAGATCACTCAGCTTTTTTATTTCTTTGTTCTAGTTGCACTAAAGTCTTCTAACTCTGCCAGACCAGAGATAAATGGCATTCAAGAAAACTGTAGAACAGCAAAACGGGGAGAAGGAATGCAGATCCTGGAAGGAGAACTCTTACTGCAGGTATGTTTTGCAGTGGATGTATTACACACAGATTTACATAAAAATAAATAAAATAGGTATCTTATTTAATGTGCCAGTTATTCACTGATGAGATTGAAAAAGTTTTATTATTGTCAAATTTTTTCCTCATTTTCCTCATTTCATACACCTAAATGTTAATAGTACACAGCTCTTGCACTTTCTCAGGAGGTAGTAATGACTTTGAAGAGAGGGTGTTAGACTACATGTTCCTCTTAACTCTGAGTCATTTCTTAGACCATTTTTTCCCATCTCTTTGCATCTATTGTTAACAAAGATAGAAATATTAAGAAACAATCTTCATAAATGTCAGATAGGTTAGTCATCTGCTGTAAATTTGATGGCTAATTGTCTAAAAAGAAACCTCTAGGAGACTTTGGGCTTGCTGAAATATCTTGCTTTCTCAGTAGTTAGAAAGAACTCATCGTTTGTAATACTGGTTAAATACAAATTTTAAAATACTTTCAGAACTATGGAAAATGTTAATGAAACATAGATATTTTTTAAAAAAGAAAATCATGTAGTCTGTTTTATAGTCTGCTTTAATGTTGTACAGTGTCAAGCCATATGAAATATAATGATATAATACTACGCCCAGATGAAACTCAAGAAATGGCTAATATAGGTGTTTCAATGTTCTGATTAGTTTCATAAAACAGATTTTACTGTGACCTGCAGCTCCATTTGAAGTATGTTCATAATCTATCTTGTGCACAGGTTTCACACTCATGCATCTGTCAGAAGTGGCAAACGTTAGGTCAGTTGGAGCCAATGGCTTGCCTAGAACAAAATTAATGTAGCTGTTCAAAGGGTAGAAATGAAAACAGGTTCTAAGAATCCCACAAAACATTTACTGTAAACTAATGCTAGTCAAAAATTGTTTCCTGACCAACTAAAAAATTAGGACGTATATAATTTTCAAACCTTAATACAGCATGACAAAGAACTGTTACGAAGTTACTGCAGGTGAACAGCTTTCTTTTAAACACAAATGGTCTAAAAAGGTACAGTATATGATTTGGTTTTGAGGTTTCTATGTGATGTGAAATTTAGGTTTTTGACTTCTGAATGGGAGTTATATGAGAGAACTGCTCTAGCAAATTGCTTTCCAGTATGAAAATTAAATGGGGGATATACTTGTTACTGTAAGCTCTGGCTCCCTTGGGAAGTAAGCAGATGAACTAAATTTCTTCAATTTGTTTTTTAAATATTTTCTATATTAAAAAAAAAGAAAGAATATTTCCTAGGGAATGTAAGGAATGATGAGTGGTGAAAGTAGGAGTTTTCTAGAAGATACTGAGCATCAGTAAGATGTAAATATTGGTAAAATCCTTCCCTTCTGTCTAACCTCAGAAGTCTTTTGTGTCATACAGGGTTCCATAAATTATAACTGATGATGAACATTTCCTTATTTTCTCTTTATGTTTGGTTTTATTTGTTCATCAGATGTTTTTTCTTGTGTTCTAACAGAAAATTGTGTCTTTATTTTCCAGCATAGGAACTGTGTTACCAATTCAATATATTGTGGAAGTAGAGATCAAATACATAGATGTGCCTTCCTTAAAATTAAGCTATATGTCCTTTAAAATAATTCAAATTATTTTTAATTCTTATTTTAGATGTTTATGATACGAAGTGCAAGCCAAATGATAACCTGTAAGAAATTTTTAAAACATCCTAATTCTCAGCAGTATTAAAGTTTCGTAATTGCCTTTATATTAGGAATATTGAGAGTATTTTTGTAGAAGTGCAAATATTATTTTCAATGCTCCAGAATAATAAAATCACTGAGAAATTTCATTTTGCCTTTTAAGATAATTATTTTCGGATTACATTTTGCAAAATCTCCATCAGAACTTATTTCCCATTTATTGGTATATATGCATGTTTTAAGGAACTTCAGTAATTTGTTGCATTAGATTTGTGGGCAAACAACTTGCATTTTACAGAATTTTTGGCTTACAGAAGGCATCTGATTACAGCATTAACAATCCTCCTCCAAAATGAACTGCATACCAGAGCCAGTGTAAAATGTGTTTGAATTCCAGGTGCAGGAGCTGTACTACATAGCTTTATATGAAACAGAGCAGAATAACTGATTTTAACATATGGGTCAGAATTAGATACTGTGCAGCTTGCAGACTTTTTTTATCAACAACTTGAGGTGAAATGCCCCGCAAAATAGGTCAGCAGAGGATACAAGCACCTGCTGTTGGAGCTTTCTGCTTCCTGGGAATTACTGTAAACTTGCTCAAAACCAAGGTTTCTATGTAACTACTCAAGATTTCTTGCATTGGCTACACTATTTAATTTCAGGTTATTATTAATATTTTTTTAACTCATACTGTATTCATGTAAAATTCACTAAACTTCCATAAGGAGTTTTTATTGAACTTACAACTGTTTATGAGAATAGATTAAGAAATGTCTACACATTAAATAGGAGTGGTTCGCAGCAATTAAAGACCAGTCATTTAATCAGATATTAAGTTGACTTAATTAGACTGTCTTAGTAAAAGAACAAGAAATAGTAAAATCTTTGCAAAATATGAAAAAGCAACTGTGGTGGTTATCATAGTGTGGGGCTAGGGGAGTTAATGTTTGTGAAGAAAATTATGCTGGTTTATAATAAAAAATATGTTGTTAGAGTGTGATAGAATATCTTTCACTTCGCGTTTTCTATGATATAATAATTTTGCATAATAAAGAGTTTCAGAAAAATGTGTTTTGAGTGTGCTGGCCAAATTTGACTTTGAACGCAGCTGAGGAAATTAAGTGGCACAATATACTTAATCTAGTCCCTTGAGACAGCCTTTTGTTAAATCTTAACTGAAATCCGTAGAAGTAAATCAGCACCTTTCAGATGAGCTGCCAAGTCACAAATGTACTGTTTGCTATCACAACAATTGCTATGAACCATATTGATTTGGAGTTCAGATAAATGCCCTTTGCGTGACTTTGAGTGAGGAGCCGCTTAGTCTGTTGCTTCATGAAGGGGGAAATCTCTTCAAAAACATTGTTTACTTGCAACAGTCCGCTTGTGCAGAGGCTTTCTATTTTAAGTAAGCTATAAAATGTTTTCTTGGACTATATAGGAGATCTTGATGGCTCGATTTCCTGTCCACTTAGGCCCGTCTGCACTATGAATAGAATGGATTTTGCGAATGGGGTTGTGACATGGTTGCCGTTTGTGCAGTGGGCAGCTGGGTGTGCCAAAGGCTTGAGCTACATAATCCCTGTGAGCTCTGGTTGATACTAGATAAACTTTTGGTTGTTCTTGCTGATGTCCCTCATTTCCTACAATCAAGGGTAATTAAAAGTCATCAGAAGGGTTTGGCTTCTCCCCTGAGTTTTCCAATTATCCATTTTTCCTTCATTAGATGCATTTTTCTTCATTGTGCCATGTATACTATAGACAGATGCAATGAAGAATGCTTCTGTTTGTGCTGTTAATGATACGTTTTTGCATGCTTCACGTTTTACTGGGAGACTAGCACATAGGTAAGACTTACAGCCACAGTAATTATCTGGAATTTTGTCTCTGAAGCTGACAGATTGGTGTTTCTTCCCCAGGCATTGAATGGTTTTGTATTAGTTGTTACCGCCGATGCTCTGGTTTTTTACGTCTCTTCTACTATCCAAGACTACTTGGGGTTCCAACAAGTAAGTTTATTTTTTCCTCTATTTTTATGCAGAAGTTTTGCTTAATTTCAGAGGGCATCAGTGTTCATGTTTAGGGTCTAATAGTTTGTGTAACAAGTCTCAGTGAGGTGCTTTGGGTTGGGTTACTTTGAAAAACCGTATTACTTTTCTATCAGTTTACGTAGCTGAAATGGGACCTCAGGCCAAGCACAACAGGAATATAGTTTCCAAAGTTGAGTTAGGCAAGATATGAAATTTTCACACTTAATTAGTCTTTACTGGAACAACTGTTTGAAATGTAATACTGTGGTGTTACCCAGTTTATGATGGTGAGCGAGACGTAATTCAATGGGAAGGTACCTATTTTAATAGAAACCCTTCATACAGAATTAACTCCATATGCCCTGAGGCTTTAACTCATGTGATTTTAGTATTAGTATTTTTAGAATTTTAGTGTTCTCTTGCTCATATTTACTTTATTTACTTATTTCAAAACAGCATTTCTTATTTACAGTTTATGGTGCAGATCGCATGTGGCTAACTTCCTGGGGCTTGCAAGCCACTTACCAAAGTAGTAAAGACCAAGACCCAGTGGGCTCACATTGCCTTCCTTAGAGAACTCCTGGGATTAGTTTATGTTAAGAAGATTGAAGATTAATTATAGTTATCGGGTTATATCTTTGGGTACTGGATGATGATAGATTCAGTTGCTGTCTAAAAATAGGGTGAACCTCTGCATGTTCTGCAATTTTAGCTAACTGATAAGAGATTGGGGAATGTTTGTATAGAAGAAAGTATCCCAAACAAAACATTATTCCTGGGGTTACAGATTCTTTTGGTGTTGGGGAATGAAGAAAAAAGTTTGGAAAACAAATTGGGCATAAAATTCGTATAGTAATGCCAAAAAATCAAGTGCTTGTTATAGGAGTGAAGTCTTAAAGATACAAAAACTAGCATTTCTGGCAATTTATTGTGGAAAATACTGACTCTTTTATGAAATTCATCAAAGCAAAACAAGCTAAGCTTCTGCTTTTGCCAGCTCATGTAATTTCTTCAGATCTATGTTTTATTTTAAATACTTTCTGTTTATATAATGGTTGGATTTTCCATTCATGCAGAAAACAGGCAGTTTAACTCCTTTAAGTTGACTGAGGCTTTTCTTGAATATATTGGGTGGGCTTTTTAATTTCTTTCAACCACTGATTCTGGCTGTTGTAGCTTTACCATTTAGATCACAATCCTAACCATGCAACTGGTGGTGATACAAGAGCTTAATAATTACAGATTTTAATTCATCCTTTGGAATTGACAAAGCTTTGAGTCAAAACTAATGTTCATAATCTACTTCACTTAGTTCTGGAAGTTATTTGGCTTCTTTTGTATTCCTGCAGCACCTAGAATGGGTCAGGTCTAAGTACCAGCTGGCAAGTACTTTATTTACCAGTATGTAAAGTTAAATGGTTTAAACCTTAAGCATAACAGTTCCAGGCTTGCTTAGATAAAAGCAGGTAAAGAAATACTTGACATAATGTTATTTTTTCTAAGGTAGGATTTTTTTTTTATTATTATTTCTTATGTTTGCAGTCATGGGTGTGACTGAATTCTTCTCTGTGCTGCTAAAAATTGTTTCACAAAGCTTTGCCACATGCATGCAAATGTATGTTTTTATCTCTGAGCAAAATGGATTTTGTTTTATCTGTAGCAGCATTATCAGCCAGGCAACTTATATCACACATTGTCATATAAGTTTCTTATTCTCCTTTTCCCACCTTTTTTCTTTTTATATGTAGTCTGATATTATACATCAGAGCGTATTTGAATTGATTCACACAGAAGACAGACCTGAGTTTCAACGACAGCTACATTGGGCATTAAATCCTGCCCAGTCTGGAGATTCTGGACCAAGTGGACAAGGTGAGAATACAGTCTACTTAGGTGTTTGTCTGTCTGATTAGTGTTTGGGGTTTTTCAATTCCTGTATGTAAAAAAAAAAAAAAAAAAAAAAAAAAAAATTTCTACTAACAAAGGAAGGAATAACATCTTTTAAACCTACTGAATTTTAAATATGTTTAGCCAACAGTAGGAATTACTATTTTTTGATGCTTTAGATAAGCGCTGCTATTCACAGCACATCACCATTAAAATACTAATTATACTTTAAATTGGAAGACTTTAATTTGGAGCATAAATGACTGAATACCTTGCATGTCTGATCAGTAGTCCTGTGGTAAACAGCAAAGCAGGTACCTGCATGTTTGTGTTGCAAACAGGGCAGTCATAAGTGGACAGTTTCTTTTGGTGACATAAGAAACAAGGAAGTTTCATTTTTCTGTGTTCACCCTAAATTGTATGGCTTGTCTTAAATAGTTGTTTGAATGAGAAAGTGGTTTCTCTGAAGTAATGATCTCTCTTTTGCATCTGCTACTCTTGGTCGCAGATTGTGACACCAGATTTTTTACCTTGGGAAGGCCAGCAGACAGTTGGGTATGACAGCTTCGTTAAGCTTTGCAGGCTGGTAGATCTGTTCCATAACTGTGTTATTTACAGTGTTAATGTCATGGAAGGACAAGGAATGTTCTCATCCATATTTGTCAGTATTATATGCAGGCTACCACGTGGGCCAGCACTTCTCTTGGGAATAAGAAGGGAAGAGGAATAAAAGATGAAATACATGAGCCTTTAAGACCAAATGGTATGCTTGTTAGAGCATCAGATTATCACATTATTGGTTGATGCTTGAGTGACCTGCTATACTGAGAAACAACTAAGGAGAAACATTGCTATCTAGCAGAACAGAGATGTGTAGGTACAGATAGTGGTGTGTAACTTGGGAAGCATATGCCTGCCTCATGACAACAACAAAACTGCTGAGATGACTCAACAATGCTCCATTTTGCACAACAGTTGTTTAAATACGTAGATAAAACTCTCTGTTACTGTAAGTTACTTGATCATAGGTTGTTGGGTTTAATCCAAAAAAAAAAGTCCATGTTATTTGTGAATAAATCTACCATTAAAAAGGCAACTTGATTTAAAACTCTTAACAGCTTCATATTTAATATTTTAGAATATGGAAATAATGGAATCGTTTGGGTTGGAAAGGACCTTAAGATCATCTAGTTCCAACCC